TACCTACCTTGTAGGATTGTTTTGAGGTTTATATTTTTTATTTTTATTTATTTATTTATTTGAGGTTTAAATATAAAGCTGTTAGCCCAGTGCTGGCACAAAAATAAGTGCACCAGATTAAAGAATACCTATACTTATTTTCTCAGGAAGTTGAAGCTAATTTATAGATTAGGATTCTTGGTTAGCAGCAAAAACTATCTCTAGCTAAGTAAAGGAAAAGAGGATTTACTGGAAGGACCTGGTGTAGTCCATCCATAGGACTGGAGGAAGAGATGAGCATTCTGGTCACAGGAAGGACAGGAGGGGGGACAGTGTCAGGAATCTAGGTAGTGGGATACAGCAGACAGACTCTTGAAGGTGCAGCTATCATAAAGCTTCCCGTCCAACCAATTTCTCTCTTTTGAGAACTCAGCTCAAGATCTAGGTTCCTGGGAGACACTGGTCTTCTCAACTTGGGCAGCAAGGCACCTTGGTTGGCAATTTGGAATTCCCATCAAGACTGGTAGATAGAAAGGCTGAGTGAGAGGATGGGGATAGTAGGATAACAGATACAGATTGGCCAGAGGGTTGTTAGCTGGTATTGGTGGACTATGTCATTAGGAAAAGATATTTTTGCTTATGTTTTGTTTCAGTGTTTTCGTGCTGGTGTTCCCTCTTTAAGAGTAGAAAAACTGTTTTTAAGGTCTAAGAAGGGGAAGGGTGTAGTCTTTCAGAATTGTCCTAATTTGGGGCCTGTGTTTAAATTCTTTTCAGCCTTGACATATTCAGAGAATTATTTTTAATAAAATGGATTTTTGGACAACAGTAAAATAAATAGCTTAGGTAAATTTATTGATCATAAATATGGTTAACTTTGTTTTTATTTTTTAAGGAACTTAAACAGAACCAAAGTCAGGAAATTGATGACCATCAACATGACATGTCAGTATTGCAGAATGTACATCAACAGAAATTGACACAAATGCATCGTCAGTATCGAGAGGGAGAAATTGACACAAATGCATCGTCGGTATCTAGAGGAATTAAGCTACTATGAAGAACGAATTGAAGAACTCAAAAACCTGTTACAAGAAGGTTATTAGTTTTGTTAATTTAACATGTTAGACAACATACTTAAAAGACAATTTTAGCACTCTGAGACCAGGACACTGCTATAAATTTGCACTAAGTTCTCAAGAATGAGTAAATGAGTAGCTCTGCTTGTTTGCCAGAAATTTGCTATGGCACCACTACTTTCAAGATTTTGCAAAAATGGGGCCGGCCCGGTGGCGTACTGCTATAGTGTGCCGCTTGGGA